CTACACAAGGGAAAGTAAAAAGGCTCCACCACATGGCCAAACGAAGGACAAACATCTACCCGAAGGCAGAAACTCAGCTACACCAACCTATATAATTCATGGGAAGAAGCTCTCTCTCTCTCTTTCTTTCTTATAAATTGCTGGCCCTCTAACTGAATAATAACTTCCTCAACCCCAAGACTTTTCCCACAATCCAAGCAGCATGCCTACCATCTCAGTAATAATAAATGATACCTTGAACAGTGATACATGTATCTATATAACCATATCCTTATCACGATCTCAATAAGACCATAACAATCCTTATCATCATTCACAATTCAATTCAAAACGCTAAATCATTTAAGCCGTTAAGGCCCCTGGCTATTGTGTATACACAGAATACACATTCTCCCAAGCTAGCTCTTCTAGGTGCCTCCACAAATTCTGTCTACTGAAAATCCTAGGTAAGTAGCCAATGATTTTCATTAACTTCTAATCTTTTCAAAATTTTAAAATTTATAACTCCAAAGAATTTGTATTTCGAGCTATACAGTATATGATAAATGTCATTCATTTAATGTATATCACTACATGTATAAGAATATTAAGATATCTAAGAAACTCCAATAGTACAAACCCGCGAATTCCAATTTCAAATTATGTATATGATATATGTCATTCATTTAATGTACATCACTACATGTATAAATCACTACATGTATAAGAATATTAAGATATCTAAGAAACTCCAATAGTACAAACCCGGGAATTCCAATTTCAAATTATCCAACATCAACAGCATGCTCTACCAATTAGGCGAACCAAAAGAGAGAGAGTGAGGGATAGCTCATGTGGTTAGAGATTCTCTCCCGATTCCAGGATATCCTAGGATTGATTTTCATCACCCGCCCTTGTGGCGCTGTAAAACCCAAAAAAAAAACACGAACCAAACGATACTAGATATTCTAATAGACGCCCGAGTGATTAATAAACGCCCTGTTCTTTACCTCAGTTTCATGACAAAGTTCAATACACCCCATATTTTCACTCACTGATCTACTTAAAATAATAATCTTCAGGAACGAATTACATTATATCAATTACACATTTTTAAATAACGCACTCTCCAATTTAACCATAATATTACAACAAGTAATTCAAAAAAATTTAAATTTCACTTCAATAGCAAATCAAACCTATCCCCAATTTCAAAAAAAAAAAAAAAATACCATTAAGAATTAGTAAAACAATTCCCATGTTGATCAATTTCACAACTTGTAACTCAAACATCCAAAATAACTATAAAATTAAATAATTGACAAACCCAATTCATCACCAACCCATTTAAAGAAGAACAAAAATCAAATTAATACCCAAAATCCGTCAGAAATTGCGCAGAAATTTAAAAAAAAAAAAAAAGGATATGTATACCTTATAAGGGTCTGATGCCTTCTTAGCTTCAGCAGCAAAGATGATCAAGGTTGCCAGAATTAATGGCGCAAGCTTCTTACCAATACCCATTTTTTATTTCTTTTAAAAAAAATTCAGGAATTTTGAAGTTTTTTCTTTATTTTATTTTATAGAGAGAGAGAGTGAAGATGAAACAGAGAAACGAAAAGGAGAGAGAATATAAATAGATTACTGGTATGATTGCACAAAATCTAGAAACTCCGAGATTGTTTAGAACACGTGGCATGTTCAGGTTGGTGCACGGAAGCTGAACCAATGGCGTTGCAGTAAATTATATTTTGACGTTTCAAATTATTGAATTTGCTGACAGTTAGGATCCACGTATTTATAGGTATCACAAATTCTTTATGAAGATAGATTTTTATTAAGTTATTGTAAAACGGTTAAAAATTATCCTAAAATATTTTAAATTTATCCTTATATCACATAGTTACCCCTTTTTACACATAAATTTTACCCTTAAAAAATACTTATAATGTACTAGTACGTATCTCGGGCGATGTCCCGAGTTACCTCTCAATATATATCCTTAGGTTTTAAAAATCCTTATATTAAATTTTAGGATTCTTTTTTTTTTTTTTTGAAAACAAGATTGCTTATTTGGAATTTTAACTCTGGTGGCATTGCCCAATTTGTTTATTGAATTTTAAAATAAATTTTTTTTATCTATGTGTCAAATTTTAAAACATATCATTGATACGAACATTATTATGTAAGAGGTGTATCTCTTTTGATTTAGGATATTTTGACGCAGAATATTATTGATTTTTGTAAGAATGCGATACATATTATAGAAATATACACTATACTAGTTTTGTGCCCGGGCGATGCCCAGATGGTTGATAAAATTTTAGTATATACTTTTTGACTTGAATGTTAAATACAGTTATATAATCCTTTTTGATAATGCATGATATTTAGACATACGATATTATAACGCTTATTTATATAATATAATAGTGTATGTTTTTTTTTAAAATATATTTAATTTATCAAAAAGGATTATTCAATTGGTATAAAATAAGAAATCTATGTTATTATTGACTTGACTATTTTATTGAACTTAAATTATTTCACTGAACTAAAAGTATATTTACCAAACTAAAATTATTTTTACCAATTACAACTTATATTTACTAATTCTCTATTAATTTTTTAACTAAATTAAATATATTATAAATGGATCTTATTTTAAAGAACTTTTTAAAACGAATTTAATGATGGAAATAAAATTGAGTTATAGGATATTTATTAAAAGTTATGATTATTTTGTATATATGAAATATTAGAATTCTATCGATAATAAAACTTTATACAACAATTTTATCTTAAAAAATCTATCCAAAAATCGCTTACTTAGCATCATGTGTCACAAGACTCACAATAATACCTACTCATCTCCTACGTGGCACGACACTTGACGAAAAATTGGAATGCTAAGTATCGTTGTCTCGTGGCCTAGCTGCGAGACTGGCTTTATTTATTAGTGATATGATATGAAAAAAAATAATAATAATCTATGTTATTCGACTTTTTTTTAACAGGTTATAATTTTTTTTAATAGAGTTATAATTTAATTTGAGAGGGTTATAATTTAATTTGTATACATAAAATGTTGGTATTTTATCGAAAATAAAACTCTAAACCATCAATTTAATCCTAAAAATCTATCCAAATTTTATTAAAAATAAAACTCTAAACTAAATTTTTATCTTACGAAATATGTCTAAATCTATCTAACACTTTTAATAAATAATTTTTACCTATGTGTCGCGACACTTGACGAAAAGTTAAAACGTCAAATGTCGTTGCCTCGTGGTCTGGCTAAAAGTTTCTTTATATATTAGTTATATGATATGATTTGATTAATCATACTACTCTTCATAGAATGTATACATAAGAAATTACACATTAATTTACAATCAAATCCATTACAAATTAAAAGTTATCCTTAAAGGGATTAAAGTTAGGGTAATGTTATATGTAGCCCGCATATAAGCATTTAATATACTCCCTATTTTAATATTAAGCTGAAAATTTATCGTCAATTCACGAGTAAATCGGTGTAATAAATGTTAATTTAATGTCTATTCTTTCCACCTTTAGCTTCTTATATGCAGCCCTAGCTTTTTCCAAAGTTACCATAAAAATTGTTAATACTACCCTTAAATTGACCGTCTTACAATAAAACTAATGTAAGTCTGCCATATACAAGACTTAGGTGTTATTTGAATGTTTGGTTTACATTAAAAACATAGGAATTGGGAGTTCGAAATTGCAAAATGAGTAGGTTATTTGGTTGAATAAAATTTGGTGAAATGGGAGAAGTTGAACTTCTTAGGAATTTCAATTCCCGCAAAATGTAGGAATTTACTTACTTAGCCCCCTAGGTAAGTTGAAATTCCTATGAAAAATTTACTTCCCTCATTACTAACCAAACAACTTCAAGGCATAAGTTAATTGGTTTTTTTTTTTTCCAAATGAAATAGGGATGGTGATTTCATTAAATAATTAAAGTCATTTGGCAACATACGGTTTATTAAAAGTAACTAGAGGTTTAAATTATTAATATTGTCCTAATTTATATATAACTAGCCTTTTGCTCCGTGCAACACTCAGTTTGTTAAAAGTAAACTTGATTTTTTTTTTTACATATTTTTATGAGAAATTTAAAGAGTTATGCAGAATGTATTGTAAAATGACATCAAATCATTCTTTATACATAGGCGAGGCATTTGGCAGCAGGGATATGGATAATGAGGAAAAGATGGGAGGATAAGGATAGGAAATTATTAGGTGGGATAACGATAAAAATTCTGTTATCCATTGTTTGGTATGATTTGGGAATTAAATTGGGATAAGTAGCAAAATTACTTAACTATCCTTACTTCTCCCTTCTCTTCCTTCCCTTTCATTAAGAGTAGTAAAATTGTCTTTTACCTTTTACTTTTTATCCCCAAACCCTATAGTCTTATACTTGCCCCACTTGTTATAGAAATACAAGAATAAACCCTCTTTTATCCTTGTCCCTTTTATATGAAACAAAAAAGGGATAATGGGACATGAGAGATTTTAAATCCTTATCCCATCCATAATCCTTATAAATAAGCAGGAAGAGTGTGTTCTCTTCATTTTATTAGACCTAAACTTATACTACGTATAAACTTATCAGAACTTATTGAACCCATTTGTATTAATCCTACTATGTAATTGGAATTTATTTGACCTCATTGAAACTTATTAGATCTGATTTAAACTTATTGAACTTAATTGAAAGTTATTTAAACTTATCATTAAACTTATTAAGCATGAAACTTTATCTTAATAAGGTTGGAAAAAAAAAAAAAAAAACAAAACAGCACCCTAACATGACAAAATTACATCTGCAGTTGACAATTGATAATATTTTCATTTTCGTTACGAAATTGGAAAGAAATAGAGTAGATAATACGAAGTAGTTGTATTATATTGATACCCAAGTTCTACGCTTAAACATTGATGAAAGATTGAATCTTTCGTCCAAAAAATAATAATAACAGTAAATAAAATACAAAAAAAATAAATAATATTGAAGCAGACTGAGGCAATTTTAACATATTTGCTTAAAGCAGAGGCAAAGTTGGGCCTATACACAAGTATTAGATGCAATTGTAAAGTATAGTGTTGTTACATGTGGATAACGATTTGATCTACAAGATTCGAATACAACTTTTGAATTGATCTAATCCCTTGCATATGAGCTTTGAACAGGTTCTTTACTATTGCATATACAGATTGACAATCCGTCCATATCATACGACTGGTGTTCTGAAATGAAGCGACAGAAAGCTTCTCTAACCCCTGGTGCAAATATTTTTTTTCTGTAGGGGATTGTACAGCAAAGAGGCAAAAGAGCTCATCTTCGCATGAAAAATGTACTGCTTGGTAACAATGAGCTCCAGCTTTAATCAACAAATCCAGAACTTCTCAGCTGCTCAACCATCATGTAAGACTCTGGACAGGAATTCTCTATGTGAAACGCTTCTTGAAAAGATAATGCCGTTTGGATGGATCCTTGGGCTTGCTCTTCACATGTCCTCTCTTATGTCCAGTACTGCATATTAGATGGTCAGCATATAAGTCAGGGCAAGCCAACAGTATTTCTCAAAATACATGCATGCATTAACCTCTGGGGTTAAGATTTTGTTTAATCAATAGAAGAAACCAGATGCCAAATCGCAATGAACATGGATGCAAAAATAATAACTAGCAGACAGCCTGCCGAGGGGGACCTAAAAGCATAGGAATGCTGATCTTAAAGAGGAATAAGATCTTGTATATGTATTCATCAATGATAGCAGGATGGTTGGCTACAAGTCAAAATGTCAAGCAACAAGCAAATTGCGGAGAACATATGCAAATTTCTTCAGCCTAAGGATGGTTAATAAGCATGGCCTTCAAAAGCCAGATATTCTTACTTGTACTCCATGTAAACCATCCCATTAGCACCCGACATGACACTCATAGATCCTGAGGTGCGACGTGCTTTCATAAGGGCTACCTCATCAGCATCTTCTTCCAACATCTCCAGACCAACAGCGTCATCCCCAGCAGTCAGCACCTGTTACCAGAATATGAAATCAGACACTATAAAAGATTCTCTTTTCAGCAGCATCTTGTGTGGTGTACCACCAAACTAATTAACATTAGCTTGCAGTAATACAGCACCAACCACTTTTTTGGCTTTTTCCGGTCGCAACTATCTTATCAAAGGAGCATCAGTTTCATCACCAAAACTTAACGCTAATGTAATAACAGTTAAAAATAGATATTCTTGATTTGAGTCATGGAGGAATAGACAACATTTTTCTGGAGGAGAAAAACAAAAAACAAAAAAAAAAAAAAAAAAAAAAAAAAAAAAAAAAAAGAATGCAGCCAGATGTTGAAAGTGGGATACCTTCCTCAGGAGATCTATCTGCTCCTGAACCGAGCTATAGCTGAGTTCTGACCCACAATCAGGAGGAGGTAAACTTGTAATTACCTGTAGCAGAAATGAGCCATCATCATACCACTGAACACATTTGTATAGCATTAAACTCATTTGGATGATAGCAACAGGTCGCAGATTAAAAGGTGTTCAAGCAGAAATTAGAAAACAATACTTCATAGTGGAAAGTGGTTATTCTGGTAAAAATGTATATACGCTACACAGCACATTTATCAATAACTAGCGCAAACTAATTTGAGTAAAACTTGTTTCCAATCAGCCTATAAAGAACAGAAAGCCAGCAAGATTCAAAAAGAACACGCAAGTATCCAAATTGAGCCAGAAAACAAATACGACCTCAACTCCAGAATAGTTTCATTTCTCAAAGTAAATTTAGTTTATTTTTAAAAAAAAATGACTTATGGTACCACCAAAATACCCTACTTTGATTTTTGGTACCTATCTAAAATTTAATTTTATTTTGCTACCACCAAAAATCCAAAATTATAGATTTTGGTACCACTTCGATATAAACATGCAAAACGAGGCATTTACGTGAATTGTTTTGTCAATTTCGAGCTCAATTTGGACCCTTAAGGGCTAAAATGACCCCCAAAACCTTATTCGGACAATTTTCGTAGCTAAACAATTAACGACACGCAAACCGATGCATTTCTAAACACGCAAAACGAAACCTTTACATTATTTTTCTGCCAATTTCGAGCTCAATTTGGGTCCTTTAGAACTAAAATGACCCCTATAACCTTAAGGAAATATTTTTCAACACGTAGAACGAGATAAAACAGCTAAGTGATACCAAAATCTGTAGTTATGGATTTTTGGTGGTAGCAAAATAAAATAAAATTTTAGATAGGTACCAAAAATCAAAGCAGGGTATTTTGGTGGTACCAAAAGTCAAAATAACCAAAAAAAAAAGATAGAGAAAAAGTCTAGTCAATTGTCATGGCTGATTTCAGACTAGATGCCAGTCAAACATCAATATGAATTGAAGCTACACTATCATAAAGCATTTCTCTACCTCATTCTGAACCACAATCACAAGCAAATCAATAAATAATGAAAGTAACTTGTTAAAAGCAAAAGGATAAAACAGCATTATTGCAGCCAGCAGCTGTATACTACACTACTACTTGCTTTACTCTTTAAACATCAGACTATCTAATGAGAGTAATGACAGCTGATAAATATCAGAAACACCTTCATATAATCATTAAAGAGCACCATATGTCAGCTGCAAAGATCTAGCCAGAATCCAGAAAAATACAAGATAGTACCTTAAAGCTGTAACCTTGGTCAATCAAAAACTGCTGCCTTTTAGTTGAGTAATACATCTCCTACATTTAAGAGAAAATATTGAGAAAGAATATAAAATTCTCAATGAAGTTAATAGAATGTCCCAAAAAAAAGTTGCTTTACCAATCACATGCACGGTACCTGTGTGTCAGTAGATACAAGTGAATAGAAAAAGGCATTATACTCTTCCTTACCCCCAGCCATCCTGTCTTCAAGCCGACCCTATCAATTAAAGAAAAATTATTAAAAAAAAATAAAGAAGAAGAAGGGGAGGGGAAGAGCTAGAGAGATAATGATCAAGTGAATAGATAGCAGCTATTTAGCCAAAAAAAAAAAAAAGAATAGATAGCAGCTAACTAATTTTCTGATTTATAGTTCTTACAGCACAACACAATAAGATGGAAAAATGGTGAAATAAAAAAAATAAGATTCTTTAAAAGTAATCCACATAACTGTATTAATATGAACCCAGGTAGGAAAAAGTATCAGATATGGTCAAATTGCTAGCAGTCAAATTAGTCTTCATCCTTCTTTACTAGTTGTAGAGAAACCAGAATTAGAAAGTTTATAAGTAAACAAATTAAAATTTTCCCAGTGCTAATATAATATTGAATTCTGAGACCTGGGCAACAATTTCAGTTTATTCTTTGGACGTTAAACATGACAGAAATAGAAATATAAAATATACAGTATCATATATGTGTCCCAGTGTTCTTAGAGATTACTAATGATAATTCTAGGCAAGGTAACCGACCAGAGTCCCATGAGCCTATAGTCTAATATACTAACATTGCTGTTCTGCTCACTTGCTCAGTATCCAGCAGGGGTGGTTCCATGTTTGCTAAGGGTACAGTTTCACCCCCAAATCTTACAAATAAAAATAAATTCTTTAGTGCAAGAAACAGAAACCAGTGTGTTTTCACTAGCAGATATTACTGGCTCACTTTTGCTAAGCAAGAATCATAATGGGATTTCGAAGCAGTTGCAAGATCAAAATAAGGTTGCTCAGACTATTACTGCTCTTAGAGCAAGTTCTTGTTCTTTGTATGCTTAGCAAAGTAAGAAATTCCCTGTATTTCATTTCAGTAACCTGGGGCATACCTCGGATAGTTTAACAAATTACATTTTTTTCTCTTCCCATCAATAAGGGGTAAAGCTGAGAAAAAAAAAAAAAAAAAAACCTCACAAGAACAGTAACATATAATTGAAGCACCCTCTTCAGGCTGTAAAACCTGAGTGTTTTCCCTTTGTATTTCATGAACACAAGTAATACAATTCCCACACAAACAGTATCTATACCATGAAAAGGGAAATTTGGTGACACAATCAGGAGAAGGCACACACCTTTGCTCTAAGAATACGACCGAGACGTTGAGCTTCTTGACGCCTTGAACCAGCATGTGATGAAATCTGAATTATCACATTTGCTTCCGGTATATCGATTGAGTTATCACCGACCTGAGCATCAAAGGAACAAAATATTAGCTTCTAATGCATGAATAACGTAACAGCACAAATAAATCATTGGCAGTAAATAAAAAGAATCACAGGAGAAGAGATCCAAATAGCCCTCAAAACAGCACCAATGAATTGGAGATGGTACATCATGCAGTCATAAAATACCACTTAATACAATCAGTAAATGTATCTTAATCATTAAGATAAGAAAATTGGGGAAATTTTAGCACCACAAAAAAAGTAGGTCATAATTACCACCTAAAATTACCATTCTCATGCATGCACAAGGCAAAGTTACGCAACCTACCTAATCCAGAGATAAACTACCAAAGGTACTTTGTTCACACACTACCAATTTGTCAAGAAAACCAATCCAAACAAGAAAGATAAATATTATCATGCCAGCTTAAATTCAACCAGCTAGCAAAAAAGTCTAATATAATGAATCTCTTCATCTAAATAACACAGATCTGATAATTAAAGTTAGTTACGAAATTGTAAAATCTCAAAAATTAAGCCACTCTAAAAAATTTCTCACCTACATTTAGCCAGTTATAGTCCCATCTATAAAATCAATTCTTAAAACAAAAGTCTCACAGGTTTTCATTCGGTGGAGACAGGATGATTAGAAAGTGCCGTAGAATTTTGTTTGGGCTACAATAGAAAGGAGTTGGATGAACTACAAATTCTTCTACTTCTCTAAAGCCACAAATTATAAGCCTTTCTTACACATTTCTCACCTACCTTGCTAATTATAGTCCCATCTTTGAATCAACTCTTAAAACAGAAGTCTCACAGATTTTCATTTGAAAGAGTTGGATGAACTACAAATTCTTCTACTTCTGTAAGTTATTGTTACACATCTGATAGCACAAAAATGAAGAATCTACTGTGTGCAAAAGAAACAATTTCTTTCACATTCAAAGATGTACAAAAAAAAAAATCAAGCCTTCCTTTCCAAAAATTGATACAACGATCTTATTGTAAATCCCCTTTTTGCAACTGGCAATCATCATTCCTTATGATCTCAAAGGTTTATCAGATTATCCTTAATTACACCCGAAAAGATTCCCCAGACATCTCCATCAATGCTTTCACAATTGAGGTATAAAAAATAATTCAGCATATAGTTATGTAACATGATCTCATCTAATTTAATTTCACCTGTAAAGCTTCACAGAGTAGCAGAAAGACATATAGGGAATAGGGAATAGGGAATATCTTAAGCAATTTTTTGGTCTATTTTGCAAGATTGTAATTTAGGATTTCGCCGATAGTAAGGTTTCCAAACTAAAAATCAAAGCAAGATTTTAAGATACTTGTAGTATTTGTTATTACATGGTCGAATTGATGGAAGAAAATTAAAATCCATATAAATAAACCACTTTAAACTATTTTTATATGAAGCAAAAAGGTTACCTCAACTTATTGACAGGATATTTCTTTGCCAAAAATTAAGTGAAATTGGCAAACATTATTATTATAGATAAACACTGGATAACCAACATCTAATTTTGCGGAAAACTAACCAACAAGTTTTTTAACTACCATTTTTTTTTTTGGTACTCCAAACACTTTTACATTTTCCATCAATAAATTAGGATTTCTTCATCAGTTCGTTTGTTTACTAAAGTAACTACCTCCCTCCATTTACCCTTCTCTTTATTTTTGCGACTTCTTTCATCATCATTAACCCCTTCCATCCACAAAATTTTCTTTTTCACTTATTATCACCCATGTTTACAGACATTGTAGCTAAGGCTAAATTATTGTTTTTGTCTCCATATAAAAATAATAACAATGTATATTGTTAAGAATATTAGAATTAAATTCTAACATGAGAATGCATGCAATTGGAACAACAGCATATTAATATGATGAGGAAGAGAAAACATCATAAACTATAAGTACAAATGCATAACTACCTTACAAAAGCCAAAGATCTATACTATACGCCTTAATACAAGTATACAGCAAAGCAATGTATCATAAAGTGTATACAACATCTATGATCTGATGAAAATCATCTGAATAAGATTAGATAATTAGAATTTAAGCTTCATACCTTAGACAGAAATATTGTGTTCACATCTTTAGAAGTTTTGAAGGCCTCTAGAATTTTTGTCCTCTCAACATGGCTTCCAAATAAACATAAGCACAATTAGGAGATTACCAAAGTAGACAAAATGCATTTGTACAAGTGACCAGCAATACCTGGTAGCACCATAGATCATAGGTTTCCTAAGCTTCATTGCATACTCGGTGAGAGCAAAAAGATTATCAGCGAAAACAATTATTTTGTCACCACGTTCCCGCTCATGAAATCGAATTAGGAATTCACATGCTCTAAACTTGTTAGGGTTCATCACATATAATGCCTGAAATTATTCCAAATAGTAATTAAAGACTGAATTATCAAAATAATAAAAGCAGGGGTAAGTAACTACAAATACATTTACACAGAGGTATGTTATACAGCAGAATTTATATCTTGCAACAATATTATTATCATTCTTTTAGTTTTCTTTTCTACAAAGAAAGCAATTGGAGGGAATCGAGGCTCGAGGGACCGAGAAGGATATGATATCAAAGAAAAAGGGGAGACTGGGGAAGTAAACCAAAAATTAAGTTGAAGGAGAGCAGAGCTGCCAGGAACATGCAGCATTATAATGAACGGAGCACATACAAGACAGGAGATTTATGATTGTTAAATGTACAACATTAGTTATATACATTTAACTTGTTCAGGAAAAAATAGCTCCAACACTTAATCTACCAATACAAGTGAAGTTAACATTAAGCTATTCATTATTTGTTAAAAAAGTATTGACCTTAAATTCCATTTTTTGTTTTATAAAACTATTAACAAGGTCTATACAAGTACCCGTGCAACCCAATTCTACCCACCCCTCGCAAACCGTGAACAGAAAAAAGGCGAATTTTACTAGCAAATTGGAAGTTTCTGGCCCAATTTATATGGGGGTCTTTTGTTATTGCCAGATCTAGTGCTGTAATTGTGAACCCATACCGAATATCAACCCACCTTCATGGAGAGTACACTTTTATCATCGAGACCATGGTGCAACTTTAGTTTATGTAAAGGAGTTGTGAGGAGATAAGTATGGTTAAATGGTTCCCTCTTATCCAGTTATCTAATATCAGTAGTTACCTCTGAGATAGAAATGCTATGGAGCAATGAGAAAAAAGAACCACTACCGAAACTCAGGTTAAAGAGAATGTAAGTTAAACATAGTTTACATGATAGTGGAAAGCAATACCAGTCTTAGGAATCCAAAATCAAGTGGAAAGAACAATAGTGGGAAAAAAACGAAAAAAGAATCTCTAGAAAACACCAATAGTCAACAAGTAAAACAATCTTACAGACCTGCTTTTTCTTGGAATTTTCTTTCTTCAAATATTCGGTAAAGAACTCCTTTGTCATTGGGCACCAAACTTCAGCACACTGTACATTTGCAATGAAGCCACCCTTAACCAAATCCAACCAATTGGCTTCGTACAATTTGGGACCAATAAGGAAGTTCAAATCAGTAATTCTTTCATCCTCTCTCACAAGTGTAGCTGTTCAAAAAAACCAAGTGTCACTACTTAAACTATATATGGTCGACAGACTCAACACGTAAACTGCCTGAATAAAATTGTAGCAAAAGTAAATACCAGTAAGCCCAAGTTTGCAATGCGATTTTGTAATGCTGATAACTTTCCGAAACATGTGAGCAGGAACGACATGCACCTATGCAACATCAAATTAAAAAAGGGGAAGTTAGACATGTTTCCCTTCAACTTCAAGGACATTATCACCCTAAAATGCCCAAGGTCCTTGAACACAAATAGTTACCTCATCCATGAGAAGTAATCCCCATTCTCTATTTCTTATTTCTTCAATAATCTTCTCAGATTCTTCAGAACGTTTACCACCAAAAGCAACCATGTTGTATGTTGTCACAACTACTCCAACATTCCCACGGAACCTCTCTTTACTGTCAGAAGTGAAACGGCATATGTGCTCGTCTCTTATAGTGGACCAAAGTTTGAACTGAAATGCCCATTGGTCGACTGATACAGCGTTTGTGGCCAGACAAAGGCAGCTCTTCTTTATACGGCATGCTGCCGATACACCAACTAGAGACTTTCCAGCACCACATGGCAACACAATGATACCAGATCTTGCTCTACCTATAAATTATAGCATAAAACACAATTATAAGCATTTGACAAACTAAAGACAAAATCTGCCTGAAATAAAACAGATAAACCCTAACTGCAAGATATCGATCTAGACCTCATCATTTATCTCTATATCATAAGCACACGAACCACAAAGGCTTTACCATTCCCAAACATTTTACTGAGACTCTTTTCCTGGTAGGGTCGTGGTTGTGCGAGAGGCTTCAACTCCATGTCGAGATCAGGATTGACCTGCAATTTTCAACAGAGTATCAGATAATTGTGGTAAATCAAGTCCAAATCTTCCCTATAGTGAGCACAAGGTAACTATAGGCTGACCATTCCTACTAACTATGCATATGTGGCACAAAATAAGACGCAAAGGGAAGGTTGCTTTGGGCTACACTTTTGGGATTTTGCTTCCAAATTAAAAGAATTGTTTATTGTGTTATCTGAATAGAAAAGACTTTGTCCTACTGCTTTAAATGCTATTTTCACCCTCTTCTATTATCATTTGAATTGCAGATAAGACCACTCGCTCCAAAGCTCTCAAGCTCACCTTCAAATTATAAATGAAGAAAGGGAATTTCTTTTTTCAAGGCTGAAACTTGCACAACAACCTACCATCTACAACTTTATGTGAATTCTAAGTATCCCATTGCAATTCTTAAGCCCCAATAAACTATATGATGTTCCCTATTTCTTTAATCAAATTACAACCCTCCAAACTGCAACAAGGCTAGTCATGCTCAAAGCCATGTGCAAAGCTATTAAAAAGAGCTACTAGTACATGAAAAACCACCCAATTGATCTCATTCGCACTCAAGTCATTACCCAATGATATGAAAAGGAACCTTAATCCATTGAAAGCCTAAATGAGAGAATGATGCTCCCATGTCAGCTAAACAAGAACTTTGGAGAAGGGTCTTATGTATATATAAATAAAATAGAAAAAGTCTTGCTAATGTTAAAATGACTCACCGTATCATTTCTGAAATCATATTCCTCCAACATTGGATAATTAAGAGCATTTGGCAAGCATCGCTGCTTTACATTTTCAACCTATAAAAAAAGTCCAGATAATGAAAATCTACAGAAATATAACAAATCCAGACGTCACGTATTAGTATGTAGTTATGACAGATTAACATAATAGCAATTCTAGCAACAACTCTTCTAATTGTTACATAACTGCAATTCTAGCAATTCTAGTATGTACCAATGAAGTCCAATCTAATTGTTACATTAAAAGAAACAATTGGCTTTTCGGCAAAACTAGCAATTCTAGCAACAATTTTTCTACTAAATGTATAAGTTTAACTGTTTGGTACAACAAGCTTTTGAGTGCAATTTTTGAGGAAATAGTGTACAGTGAATTAAGTAGCAGAATAACCAGCTTTGAAATCCCGAACCCAATATTATCCCAACTTGCTACAATATTATCTTAATGTAGCTAAGAAGCAAAAGCGAGTAGGGAAATTAAGGTGTATAAGAATCGAGTTATTTGCATTAGCAAGTACACAAAGGGAAGATTCAAGGGAGGGGGCAGCAATGGAGGGTGATATACCAAAGGAGTGGGGGGCAACTTGTTTTTCCATACAATGTAGTTAGTCTCAAAATATGAACCATTTATAGAAAGGAGAGAAAACGAAGAAACTAACAATATCAAAGTGAAGCATTATGTTATGATAAAAATCCAGATAATAAATTACTATTACAGTTTACCTGAGCAGGGTCAATTTCAAATGCATGGGTATCTTTCTCCTCAGCTGCAGCTGCCAACTCAGCTTCACTAAGCAAATCATCATGACCACCTCCCATCTCACTCAATGATTTACTGACCGTAAATCCATCTACTCCATGAGCAACCTATAAAGGAGAATCGCATAATGCGTTGTTGAGTAAATTAGGAGGTATACGTGATAATAACAAATTTCACCTTCACCATTTCTAGGGAGGCAGCAAGACCATCCCAAAAAATTTTGCAAAAGATTACAACTAATTCCATCTTCTTTTTCATTGATATCACAATTGGAACTACTTTAAACAGCTATGTAAAGCAAGACATAAGACAAACCAGGTTCAACATCTAAATAAGAGCAAAAACACCACCACCCTCCAACATGAGCCTCCATTGAAGGACTTGAATCATATGAAGTACTTAGGAAAATTAAATGAATACCCAACGAACAAGACATCAACATGTAAAAATTAACTGACTAAATGAAGGATTCATACCTCTGTAGAAATCCTAGCCTTGCCAATAACTTCATCTTTGAGTAATTTTTTCAATACCTACACAAGCCACAAAACTAGTGTAAGATATCAGATAAGCAAACACAAAATGAATCATGTGATTTCAATAGATAGCATACCTCTGGAAATGGAGATTCGATTAAGTACCGATTCTTCTTAAGCACAAGCTTGACTTTACCATAGTTTGCAGTGGACCCATGTATAAAGTCAATCATTTCTTTCGGGAGCTTAGTCTTGGACAACTTATTTAAGACTGTTATGATTGTTTCTGTTTCTAGACCAACAGAAACAGCAGCATACAATGAGTGTGGTGTCAAGTTGTACTCGTGCATGGATTCCGGCCTGAAAACAAGCAAATATCAATAGCAAGTCATATTATGGAGGTGAATGTCACTACACCATTCAAAGTAGTCAAATTTAATATGGACAATTTTTTGAGGTTTTGGGTAATTTTTTCCATTTGGCTCAGCTGAAAGATCAATTGTTGGTTTGTTCGATACGAATTACTGTATTATTTTTATTTTGTGGTTTGGTTCGGTTGGAATTTGGAAATTATTAGGCAAAAGAATCACTTAAAAAAATCAATATCCTAAAAAAAAGATGAATGGTATACCTGCAAACTGGTTCAGCAATTGCGATGAGGAAATCGTAAGCTTGCTTATACAAAGGCGAGAACGTTTCAAGAAATATTCGCCCATCAGCACAAGCCCACAAGGGGCGATTCAAATGATCAGGCTTGAGCTCCAGCTTGGTGAAGTCTCTCTTTTTAGGCTCACCTTCATAAATTCAACCAATTCTAGCAATTTCAGTAACGGATGACAAAAACCCACTTTATAAAATCATGATATAGTCATAGTTATATTTGACATTTCACATTCATCCTAAAATTCTAACTTGCTGGAAGTTACATGCTTACATTATACCAATTGTTGCCGATATAAATGTTGAAATTAAAACAATATCGAAAATCAAAGAAATGGAAATACACCTTCGGGATTGTGATCATCGTCAAAATCTTCCGCGGCAAAGTAAGCATTGCCATCTTCAGTCATTCTATGATGATCATCCTATCAAAACAATACAAAAAAAACAGATAGAATTCAAAAACCCCATTTACGAAAAAAATTTAAAGTAACACAATAAAATGAATTGGGAAAGAACCTTAGATGATTTGTGCTTTTTCCCAGGTCTACTCTTCTCCCCTAATACAACAAATGAAATTGAAATCAGTAATGGTTGGAATCGAAGATAAGAGAATTAGAAATTGAAGAAGATAAATCATACAGTACCATGAATTCCCATGTTTAACAATAATCTAACTGCAAACGGTGCTTCCTTCTGTTCTTCGCCTTCTTCGGCTGTCGGCAGGACAGTGGATAACGTGGCAGCGCGAGCGTCCTCTGTTGCAGGTGGCGTCGGGGAAGATCTACTACTGTTTTCTTCGGTGAGCTTTAGGTCCGTCAGTCCGTGGTTGGAGAATTGTTTGATTTTGTTTTGCTTTTTTTAAGAGGGGTTTGTTTTCGTTTTTAAAGGTGTCGTAGGTTCGTAGCGTCTTGTGTTGATTTTGTTTGCTTTGGACTTGATAGTCCATTTTACTCCCTCCGTTTTTTTTAATTTGTATCAGTTTGATCGGCATAATTGCAGAGACGCAACTTTGACCATTAATATCTTTAATTGTATATTAGTAAAAATTGTAACAAAATTATATTATGAAATTAGACCTTATGACTAATCTAATGATATATTATATAATAACATTTATTTATTTTATAGAGATGAAAAAATTAAGTCAACCATAGTAGGTGAATAGTGCAAAAATCAAAGTAATGCATTTAAAAAAAACGGAGGGAGTATTTTCACAATATTATATCATATAACTAATATATAAAGCTGAACTTATAGGATAAAATTGTTGGTTTAGAGTTTTATTTTCGATAAAATATTAATATTTCACATGTACAAAATAAATTATAAGTTTAGTCCGACAACGAGACAGCGACACTTGGCATTTCAACTTTTGATCAACTGTTGTGCCACATAAACTACAATTAAATAATTTATCATATAAATTTATTTTTATATCATTATTGTTTTTGGAGCGAAGGAATTAAAGTAGTTTAAAACGTACAACTTTCATTTATAATATACCCTAATCGATTGAAATAAAATATTTCACAATCTAATATGATTTTACTCCCTCCGTATTTAAATAGATGAAACGTTTTGACTTTTACGAAATTTGAGGAAGATTAGTTGAATTTAATAAAATAATAGGTAGTGGGGTATAAGTTTGAGGAGAAATAAGAAAGTGAGGGATTTTGTGGGGACCATAAGTTAGTTGAATATTATCAAAAAAAATAGAGAGAGTATTATTAAAAGTGGAGAGATTTTACTAAAAAAGGAAACATTTCATTTATTTAAATACGGCCGGAAAGGGAAAATGTTTCATTTATTTAGACACAGGGGGAGTAAAACTATATGTAGACCTGTCAATCGGGTCGGGTCACGGGTCATTTTGGGTCGAGTCACTTCAGGTCACGGGTCAAGAAATGTTGAAGGCTAGCCTAAAGTTTCGGGTTTGGGTCAACCCAACGAGCTTCGAGCTATTTTTTTTGTTTTTTTTTTCATAATTTTTTAAATCGAACATTTTCACTAATATTATTATTAGTCATTACATGTCTACTATATGATTTAAATAGTCACAAAATCACAAAAATTCATAAATAATTTTGTAGCAATGATATATTTTAAAACTTGGTACATAGATAAAAAATTTATCTTAAAATTCAATAAACAACCCGGGTATCGCACGGGTTACCAAACTAGTTCTTAATTAAGGCAAATTTTTAATATTTAATCGTGAGACGAGTTCAGGAGAAAATGGACTCCACAATAATTGATTTATTTACAAACATACCATGACTATAAAATAGACCCCACAGTAATTGATTTATTTACAAATATGTCAGGATAACTAGGCAAAATTGTTGATTTAATTATAGTTATGGCATTTGATAAACAAATTTTGTTTATCAAGGAGATAAACTAAGGCTTCCTCGAGTTATAGTTACCCTTAATAAATTTTACCCTTTTATTTTTATTTTTTTTTGGAGGGAAAATTTACCCTTATATATACTAAACTAGAAAAGGTTACAATTTTTCTAACATAGATATAAAACACCTATAATGTTTTTTTTTTTTTTTTTTAACACCTATAATGTATTACATAGTATATTAATCATATTAACTTTTTTTGAGACTTAATTATATTAACCTTTTATAGCATGTAACCATTAGAAATTACACATTAAAATAAAATCTAACTCATTACGAATTAAAAATTACTCTAAAAGAGATTAAATAAAGTTACCATAATAATTGTTAAAGGTACCCTCAAATTGACTGTCTTACAATAATATTAACGTAACCTCACTTTATACAAGACTTATTACTTTATTTTTGCTTATATTATCTGATCTAATCTGATTTGATAAACTTTGACCTTATGTGTATAATAATCTTTAAAGAAAAAAATATATCAATTGGGTCTTGTTAGATTCGTAATAATGTATATTTTTAGTAATATGTAATTTTCATAATTTTTTTTATTACGAAATTAAAAATATTTAACGATAAAAAAACGCACATAAAATAATAAAGCGTGTCAATTTTTTTTTTTCTTTTAACTAATTTGATTTGAACTTATTTTTTTCTAAAACAAGGAATGCAGGTATGGCCTGGGTTTCAACAACAGATGGCACTATTATTGTTGATCGTGGAGGTGACTTCTGTAAAGCATCTATGCGGAACTTTTAGCTTGCTAGGGTGGTATCTGATGGACAAGGAGTGCAGGCTACCAGAGAATATCAGTCTATTCAGACTCCGCAAATATTATTCATTTACTACAGCAAAAGGATAGGAAAGAGATCGAATTTTAATTTTCTGGCTACTTAGAGAATTAAGGGGGCTAGGCAAACTTTTCCAGACTTGTGTAGTCTGGAAGGTAGTTAGTAGGGAACAGGTTAGTAGAGCACATATCCTTGCTAATGATTGTAGGGCTAACCTGACTCGTTTTTCTATTTCTTAGGGTTTGTTTGGCATCGCTGTGATTTTCTGTTTTTTGGTTTTTTGTTTTACAAAATCATATGATACATGTCATATAATGAATCAAAATTAGTCAAATTTATTAAAATCTTGATAATTTTGAAAACTAACAACAGAATAGTGGAAAGATCTTTTCTTTGTTTGTTTTTGGTTTTTTGTTTTCAAAAAAACATAAAAGTTGATTAGGGGATTTTGCTCCCACCAATCGGAATGCGCCACGTGGGCCAATCAGGTCCTGCCAAGTGTCCCCCAGTTGGAACTGTCAGGGCTTGCCACGTGGCACACGCTTATTCGTCCACCTTGGACCTATTATGTCATGACACGTGGCATACTCCATGCCTAATGGAGAAACCGGCCACCCAGGCCCAACTTCCGAAGGAAGCCCAATCAGCCCTAGGTTAACCTAAACCTAGGATTGGCACGTTTCCCAAGGTTATAAATACCTCCCTTAATCCTCATTAAGGGAGATTACATGATTAACAGGTTGATCACGCTAAAAAAAAACAGATTACCTACATTAAACACTCTCACCTAGAGAGACCCAATCACTTTAATTTCCGCATTAATTACTCCTTAAACAAGTACTAACTTGATCGTTGGAGGCGGAGCTCCCACCACAAGGAGTCTCCGTTGTTTTGCAGGTACAAACGTCCGGTTCCAGTCTCGGAATTGTAACTCTCCCGCAGGACATCAGAAAACCCCGAAACATTTGGCGCCGTCTGTGGGGAGAGTACTTCTGAGATGGCATCCAAGTCTGTACCGACTCCTGAAGAGAGGCGTCCCCTAGACGACCCTCAAGTTCAGTCGGACCACGATACTGAGAATGAATTTGAAGTTGAAGCTCACACAGCTTCAGACGGGACCCTAAGGGCCCGACGTACCCGACATACCGAAAGGAGGGAACGGGAACATCTTCAAACTGGAAGCGAGCCAGTAGGCGCACCGCCTGTTCGGCAACAGCCGACTGACGGGTCTGCTCCCATCACAAGGAACGAACTCATGACCTTCATGAGGGACTTCAAGGGAGAAATTCAAGAGTTGATCAACAAGAAGCCGCCTGCTCTAGACAAGGAGCAGTCGGCTAAGAAACCCTCCACTTCACAGAAGAGGAAGCCAGTTCAAGGGCGAGAGGCGACTCCTCATCCTAAATCTAGGAAGCGGGAGCCGACTGCCCTTGATTTCACAAAATACCGTTTTCCTACTCCAGGAAATAGGAAACCTGTTCGTCATATTCAGGCGGACGGGTCGAGGAAATCATACACAGACGCTCGGCTACTGCTAGAGCAGAAGAAGAGTGACCGATTGTCAGAGTCGGCCTCTACTTCAAACTTCCAAGACAGTCTGCGAAATACCTCGATGAGGCATACTCAGTCGTATCATGAGAGTCAGTCAGGCGGCACCTCCCGTCAGTCCGGCTATCATAGCGACCAGGCGGTACCAAACTTACCGTTTGTACCGCAACAACAGTATTTCTTACAGCCACCTCCGTTTGGTGGACATGCAGCAAAAAATGTCCAACCTATGGACTGGCAGCTACGGTTGCTTAGACTTGGTGAACAGCCGTCGGCCTTCTCCAAGGAAATTACTGAAGCCACTCAGCCGGCCAAAGTGAAAAATGTATTAGTAGGCGCCTATGACGGCACTACTAACCCAGAAGACCATCTGATGGCATTCACCAACCTAATGTACCTTCAAGGGTTGGATGATCCCACCTGGTGCAAGTGTTTCCCAGCGACTCTCAAAGGAATCGCACAACAATGGTTCGGCAACCTGCCGACTGGTTGTGTAAATAACTTCAGGACGCTTGCTTACTTATTCACCTCCAACTTCGCCATGAACATCCCTGCGAAGAAGACAACCCTTGATTTAGGAACAATTCAGCAGGGCGAGAAGGAGGGGCTTCGTTCTTACATCAGGCGGTTTAACCTGATGAGAATACAGATTCAAGGGTTACCGGATGAAGTAGCCTATACTGACTTTTTCAGAGGTCTCAAAGACGGGTCGACCTTCAAATTTGATTTGGTCCGAAATAGGGTGGCGACTCTTCAAGAGGCCTTGATTGAAGCGGAAGCCTATATACAGGCGACTGGTCTTTGTAGTACGGGAAAACAGTCGGACGGGAAAAGGTTCGACAAAAGAGAAAGACGACAGAAACAGTCGTCAAACAAAGACGAGAAAAGAAAAGAGGTCTGGGCGGCTGATTCCTCTAAACAGCCGACCCAGAAAAAGAAAAAAGAATTCAAACCATACTCCCCAAAGTATGCGTTTAACAAGGATAGCCAGTTTATCCTAAAGGAAATCAAGGGATGGATCTCAATTGAGAAGCCAGTCCCCATGAAGGGTTCTGCAAACAACCGGAACCAAGATAAATTCTGTGCTTATCATGAAGATGTTGGTCATCACACCAATGAATGCATCAGTCTCATGAGATATCTGGACCGCCTAGCTGAACAAGGTGATCTTGACACTTATGTCAAGAAATCTACGAGGAACACTTCCTCAAAAAAGCAGTCGACCAAAAAGAATCAATAGGCCGACAGCTCAGATACAGA